TGTTTTCCCAATTCAACGTGACAAACCTCTGGGGGAATGAAAAGCGATTGTTTTGCAACTCGTCGGGATATCATCGTTTTTCTTTTCGTATCCTTTGGGATACTCATGAATTTTTCGAAAAGTAAAAAGAAAAGAAAATGAATCCTCAGGAGGTTTGTCACGCTGAATTGGGAAAACATTGTCACACCACGAATAAGGTCTATTCACCTTAAGTTCCATATAGAGCTCTTTTTTCATATACCCCTCCCCCCTCCCTTGAAAACCGAACCAATCAAAAGTTGGTGGCTACGGCTCTGTGACATGTTTACTATAGTTCAAGGTATATTTGACGTACAATATGAAAAACATATTTAGTAATATCCTAATTTCATCAAAATCTGCATCTCCTAAGAATACAATTCTTGGTTTGTCTTCTATTTTTATTTTTATAGAACAAATGATGCAGTGATGTTTAATAATGGCTAGTGCAAAATTTTATCCAGACTAGCTACACATGTCAGAACATTTCATTGTTTATTTCAACATTAAATCTTTGTTATATGTTGTATTGGTGAATTAATAAATAAGATTTTTTTTTGTTTTTCAACTACAGTGCGCCCACTATACACCGTTAAATGATGTGATTGATACTTATTACCACTATTTACAAACTCTTACTTTGCTTCTACAGTTCCGCTTATACAGCTAGCCACATGCAGTCATAGACTGCCTATTTTTAAATCAAAGGTAACCCATGGTAAGCTCGTGAAGTTTTTTGAGTACCAATGAACAAAGATGATAACAAATGACACTTGGTGAATCCTTTCATTGAGTAAGGCGATAGTAGGCCGCGGTGTTATGTTTTGTGCAAACAAACTGTTGTCTTTATCAATTAAATTATTGGCTTCTGATGGGCTACAATCAAGAGAATATGAACTAAGAGAAGGAATACTACCTATATAGCCTTGTAACCATTATGTGCACAGTTTGATGCTATTTTTAGCTTGGAGATATTTTGAGCGAAGAACCTGATTGGTTGATTTTTTGAGGGTAGGCGGCTTCTAGTCTTGCAGTATACAAAAGCCTGTGTTTTTATCTCTTTTCGAGGAAGCATGATTATCGCGCGGGCATGGTAACGAGTTAAAGATAGCATCAATTATTCTAAAAATAGCATCAAAGTGTGCACATGATGGGACACGGGGATTCCTTCTATTAGTTCATTTTCTCTTGCTACAATTCTTTCCTCGATTTCTGGTTACGAAATTTTTCTACAATTGAGATTATCTGGACCGAGTCTAATAGGTCCAATATATGACAAACCTCATATCTCAAGGTCCAATAAAAAGAGCATAAAGTAAACTAAGAATACTCAAAATATGCTGCTGATTACAAGTCAGTGATTATGAAGTGATCGAAAATCCAAAATGGCTTCCTCTGCAAACAACGTGCGTGGATTCTTCCAGTGACGTCACTTGGCGAATACAATGGATTCCATGGTTACGGGAATTACCCAAAACGATTGGCTGAGAAGCGTTATCCGAAAAATGTGAAATCTAGCCACCTCGATAGCTCTTCACGAGCTAAAAAGGTTGTCAGGACCGAAGGCGCTAGGTCGTACCAAGACCGAAAGGGATTATGGGTATACATAAAAACTAGAGGTTTAATTGAAATGGCTTCGTCGACTCACTACAAAGCAATACTAACTATCTCAATATTAAAATCACTAGTCATTCCAGATTGGATATTGGAATGACTTATATCCCTTTTTCTTTTTTTTTTTTAAAAAAAAAAACGACCTAGTTGGGTATTGAGAAAGCTTTCTGAGTGGTAAAGAAAACCTCGGGTGTTTCAATGAAATGAATAATCAAAATTATTTTACCATCCGTTACTTTTTTGATRTTTTCTAATACCTTTTAGGGCTATTCTTATTCTTGTAAGGGAAGGACACGAGGTCTGAAATGGGGGAAACATTACGCCCAAGGTCAAGAGCTAGGTCTGCCTCTAGAGGTCTGACCACAGCCCAATTAGGAAACCAGATAGTGAACGTCTTTCTGAAATTGTTTTAGCCGAGACTTCAAAAGATTTAGTAATCATAGTAAGTTGTTTTCGTTAGGTATAAATTCCTAACTTGAATTATCTTTTCTACGTACGCCAAAACGACAAATAAATATTCAGTGGAAACTAGTTCAGTCCACTGTATTCACTGTATTCACTGTATTCACTGTGGGTTGTTCACTGTAGATAGTGAACAGTGAACAACCCACAGAAATGCCTTAATGTTACTTACTAACCATTGTTCAATGAATCAATACTATTGTTACTCATCATGTTCATATCGGTATTATAACCACACTGTGGCATCTGGTATTACGGAAGCATATAGCCACCATAGGGAGGCCCCATAGCTTCTCTACTGTAGTAATCGGCCGGGGCGTGACTACTCGGCATGTCTGTAAACCCACACTGCGAGCTCACCGTAGGTAGGTACGGAAAGAGACCCATGGCTTGGAGGTACGCGTTCCAGTTTGTCCACATGGAGAACGGAGGTGACATGGAATTGATCGGGAAGTAAGAGAGATAAGGTGGGATGTTGTTTGGTGTGTGTTGTGGGGTTTCTCCTCGCTTGGCGATTCTTCTCTTTTGGTGTGGTTTTGGTGGCGTTTGACTTCTTCCAGTAAGTCTAAGGAATAATAACAATAATAATAATAAAATAAAATAAAATAAAATAAAATAATAATAATAATAATAATAATAATAATAATAATAAACTCAAGGGGAGGCTGTAAAAAAATAAACGCTTGCGAACTGCTGCTT